ATTTTGGATCACAAGCAAACAAGTGTTGTCTTGAATTTGTATGAGTACCATGCAGTGAAGAATCATTATTTCAGTAAAAATATTTAATGAATAAATATTACAAAATATTATCAAAATAACCATATTGTTGATGATAAACTATAAATTTCTAAAGCACACAGCTAATACAATTAGTGATTAAAACCGTAATTAAATCTCAAATGCTCAACAAAATTTATCACTTGATCTTATTCATAAACAGCACTGTTGATAATAATGGGCGCAAAAGACATATTTGAAATCATTTCTTCAAAATTTTCTGTGAGAATAATTCAATTTTAGATTTGTGTAGCAAACTGACTTGGGCAAATACAAGAACAAACTTTTTGAATATCACAATATGCAAATATTGAACAACAAAAGTGTTTTGGATTATAAGCAAACAAATGTTGTCTTGAATTTGTATAATAACACAAAGTTTCTTTTAGTCACTAACAAATTTAAAATTGAATAAATACAAAAAAGTAAAAGCAGAAATTTAATTAAAAATTGAATTGCTTTCAGATGAAATTATTAATACATAACTGAGTAATTGAAGCGTAACCAAACTTTAATAATAAAATGCACATTAATTATTAAGCAAACCACAATATATATCTTCTATATTTTTTCGAAAATTAAATAATTCGTTGAATTAGACTTTCAGCGCTAGTAACAGTGTGAGCTTATTATGTATTTAGGTTTTTTTTGGCGGGTTCATCGTCAGTGAGAATAAGATTTTTCGCATAATAAAATACCATAATGTCAGGAATGCTAGACAGTATCCTTAAACAATTTGTCATAATTAAAGGTATTACTTTTTTTTCGTCATTTGCAATATTAAGACTACCTGTAATTTCAGAAGAAATAGTACCTTAGTTTGGTATTATGTAATAAATATGATAGTTTGATTAGGTAGCTCTATTGAGACACCGAATGAAGCCTAACTTTATTATATTTTTCATTTATCAAAACATGATGAAAAGTTAATTTTTACTTTCTGTCAATAATTTTGAACTTAAGGTAGTAAATTTTGCACCTCACACTATTCATGCATACTACAATGTGCAAAGAATAAAAATAGCATTTAATTTGGAAACAAAAATCAATACAGATTTAATTTGTTTCTTAATTTTATTATTTATTGTTCAGTTGAAATGAAAAGCAAACCTCAGTACACCGTAGGTTACATGAGTTGTTAATCGTAATTTATCTGCATCATACAAGGTACAAGCACCTCGTGATTCGTGTCCACATACGGTATTCCACAGTATACATGATTGATCAATAATCCAACCCCAGAAAACGGGAGACGGTAAGGTTGCTGTATAGAAGTAAGATTATAGTAGCACGAAGGGAACTATTTTAAAATGAAAAAATATTTTGCTTCGGCTTTCTTTGAAGTTAAAGAATGTTTTCTTGCGTCAAAACATAAACGTTTTGATAGAATCAATTATTTATATATTTAAAAATAAAACACATCTAGCACTTATAGTTTACGTGCTAAAATCTTTACAAGTCAACAATAAGAAAGCTTCACTTTGATTTATCGATATATTGTTTACACTGAAGAAATAAATACCGCAGTGAATAAAACGTAAATTACATCTCGCCTTATAGCCTTATAAATCAATTTCATTTTTCAATTAAATCAAAGTTAATGAGTAAATGTTGACAAGAAGAGTTAATCATATTTAATAGTCTAACTAGTATAAACAAAAAGTCAGCATTAAATTTTCAAAAAATTATTCAGAAATGACCTACCGATTAAGCTAACAAGAAATCCCTGAAAACCGAGAGATATACTGCGATCAGTGGGTGGCACCGATCTAAATTATTCAATATCAACATCTTCTGATAAAATTATCATTAAATAAGCTCAGAGATTCTGTCTAGTCTAGTATCTGTCACAGTACAAAAATGCATTACTTTATTACATTTCTATGTCAAAAAATTCACTTCTTAGAAAGTTTTAATAACTTTCCTAATATCTTTGAAATTTTAGCTATCACTTTTGAATATTTGAAATTTTAAACGTGAATTTTAATTGAAAGGCATTGTAAATCATTATGACAGAGTTATTAGAGTTTTTTTCTGGTTATTTTTATGATTTTTACTAAATCATTTTAGTTATTAAGTGACAGATTACTAAACTGAATTAAATATTGTAAAATTATAAACTTGTATTACTTTTACCAGTCCAATACATGAACAAAATTTTACATAGTTTGCATTTTATAGTTATTTAAAAGTCTGACTGACATTATTAATCATAACTGAATTATTCCATCTTATGCATGCAGCTTCACCTCAGAAGTATCAGGATTGCTGGGATAATGCTCATTCCTCCGAAAATTCCCGAGACTACCATATTCTCGAAATACATGAAAAATCTCGTCTCACATATGCTTTGATTGCAAAAATCTCGAGAAACTTCACGATCAGCAGTATTGGAACATTTGCAGTTTTGAAAAGCCTGCAATATTTCTGACTTGACTAAAATGCATTCTGATTCCAACCTGAAGATTCATTAATATCATAAATAGAATAAGCCCTTAGAAAATATGCAGTAAATCGAAAATAACAAAATCTTAGAAAAGATAAATTGAATTATTCCATCCTAAAAACATGTAAATAAAATCATTGAACTTGATAAATTGTGTATTATAAATTTCACGTTACATCTGAATAAAAATTTTGAAAAACAATTTTTCTTGCAAAATTTGCTAAATTATAAATAATTTAAGAAAATAAATTGATTGATGTTGGAATTCATTTACAGTCAATAATTAGTCAAACTGTATCGGTAAATTAGACTAGAAATTAAGTTTAATACTAAAGCTACGACATCATACTTCAAAAAGTTTGCTCAAATCATACTTTGCCAACAAAAGGTTGAATAAAACTTTGATCCAACGGGCATCCGGCATGACATGGAGAATAGAATGGCTCACCATTCCGATTACAAACTGGATATAATGGCATATAATCACATTTACACTCTAAATTACATGATGTGGTGAAGTTTTGATTTACTGACCTGAAAATACTGCAATTTTTAGAAACATAATAAAATTAATAGAAAAAATTTTTGATATAGTAAATTTGTGACTAATTTGCAAAATATCAATATGGAAGTAAGCTAATGACGAATTTATTAATCTCAAAATTACTTACAATTTGAATTATATAATATATTTGTAAATGAATTGAATGCGTATAGATAGATAGATTAGATAGATAGATGGATTAGATAGATAGTTAGATAGATTAGATAGATAGATAGATAGATAGATAGATAGATAGATAGATAGATAGATAGATATATTAATAACCTAAATTTATCGCCGACTAAACCAAGCGCTGATTTACAATCAACTGTTGCATTATGAAGCGAAAATAAAGCAGCGATTAATGAACAAATAACAACAAGTGCTGCTGCCTTTCGACCTAAAACTAATAAATTATAATCCGAAACTAATAAATTATAATTTAATTTGATTAATTAATTGTATTTTTAATTAGTGAATAACAATTGAGCTAAAATAATGGTAAAAATTTATAATTTTCGATGAGTGATTGGTAAGTCAGTCATTGCAACAAATTTTTTTCACAAATGTTATCAAAAAATTGCCTTGAAGTTTGAATTTTCGCATAATTATGCTACCAATAACAACGCCAATTGCGAATCCTGTCACACCTGCTATTCCTGAGAAATTTAACCTTTAACCCAAGCATTTATAGTCAAGAAATTGTAAACTCGCATCATAGATGTAGCGTTTACTTACTAATAATTAGTTTATTTAAGTTCATTTTAGTAATGCATGTTTATGAATTCATTTACTTTAACTTTTTGAAAACATGTTTATCCATAGTATATTTTCGTGCTATCTTTTTTATTCTCTACATGATGACAAATAAAACAAAAGTTTATGATTAATTTCAGTGAAAAACAAATAAATAACTTTTGAAAAATCATGTATAATTACAGAAAAATTTGCATAATTGCAAATTACAACAAACCCATGTAAAGATTAATTTTGTGCTGAGGTAGGCCGAACTGCACTTCAAGATATTTTGGGAGAAAAACAAAATATCCTTTGAACGCAAACACATCTACAATACGAGCAACTGAACATGCAACATATACCGGTGACTTCATTATGGTTCGAACTGCGCAAACGAAATCTAAACAATCTGAGGTCAAAGTAATCCTGAAGAGTTCACTATGTATAAGTCAGCTTCTTCAAAATCATATTATTAATTCATGAGTAAGTAACGCTACTGATTTAACTTATTTAAAAATTTGTTATTGAGTTGGACAAAATAAAATTTATGCTTAAAATTATATTTGCATCAATTATTTGTCATTTTTGAAATTATATTTTTGATTTAGCAGACTGCCACTTGCAGTTATTTATATCGAAAAGTGGCAAACAATATTTTATTTGTTTTATTTTGACATGCAAATTTTTTAAAAGACAAAATATTTCTTGAACAAAATAAACTGAAATCATTTTTAGAAGAAAACAAAACAGAATTTTCATATACAAATTTATAGCAAAGTATTTGCTTGCAACAAATGTTACTTTCATTTTCTATTTTATTCATATTTTTTAAAGAGAGTAAATTTTCAAGAAAAATGAAAATTAAGTGGCGGCATGACGGAGTAGTACACGTAATTTAAACGTAAATCTAACTTAGGTGAATTTGCGTTATAAACAAAAAATTCATTTTCTGAAAGTCAAAACTACTTTAAATGAATAAATCAAATTTGCATATTAGCAAAGAAATATGCTTCATAAGAGTTTGTTTGAAAATCTTACCAATTACTTTTGCTTTCATGGAATTTGGTACAACAGTATTACCAGATTCGTCCCTTAAAACGTGACGATCAACCAATGCTAACGCTTGGCTTCGCGTACTTTTCTCATTTACTGTCTTCCTCCAAAATATGTTCAAGTATTTTCTAATTAACAGATTTTAAAATATTCATTTTTTGTTTTGACTAAAAAAGATTAGCTCAATTTTTGTATTGATTAATCAAAAAGCTTGATCAAAATTATTTTCAGTTTATTGATTATTCTCAACTGATAATGTCATACTTTTGGGAAACCAACAACTGAATTTCCGGGAGTTCTTGATTCTTGACATCCTTGTCCTCAATATTATAATTTATATTATTATAAAGTTGTTAGAATTATTCAGAAGTAAAAACATATATTGTCAGATATAGTCAGATATATTGTTATAAATTATAAAATCAATGATTCCATGAATGAGCAAACATCAAATACATGCATGCTTATAGCTGAGATCAAAATATTACATTCATATTAATGTTATCGATAAAACGTAGCAAAAGTGATCTTAATTGAGGTTCATTTTATAATACTGTACCTATTCGTACTGAAAAACTGAAGGAAATCTGATAAAATTTGCAATTTGATTTGAAAGACTGTAAGGTCTAAATCAAATTAATACTTACAGAATGCTTTTTATACAAGCTAGTTCCAGGCTTATAGTTAATACAAGTTGGATATAAATATAAAGCTAACGAAGGAGCAAACATTATCACGCCAATAGTAAGGAATCCAGCCCACCATCGACCGATCCATAATGGGTCACGGGGTGTTAATCCAGGAGGAACTGGAAAATTTACTTATTATTGTAATAAGCTAAATATCAAGGTAACTGTTCTCTACTTGCACTACATTTTTAAAATAATATTACACCAAAGACTGAATCATTTTTTTGATCAACACTTGCTGTAATAAAATTGTAGAGATATTTTAAATCTCGTTCTAAAGTCAAGAGAAAGTTTACAAATTAAAAAATTTTTCATCCTGTAATTTAATTGCCATACCATCATTTCAAGTATTGCAATCACGTATAAATAAAGCTAAATCCAATCAGTTTAGGATAAGTTTCTGGTGAAATTCTGATTTTAAAAAATTAAAATCAAAGTTAAGGTCAAAGCTTATCACGCGCATAACAAAGATAAAAATGATTAGCTTAATATATTATCTTGTTCTAATTACATGCTTAATAGCTACCACATAACTATCATAGTAATTTTATATACTTTAATTATTCTATATAGGCAGTAGCTCCAACCCGCAAAAATATTTTCGGAAAGTCTTTTTTTGTGTTCACCAAAAATATTTCTTACCATCAAAACTGTAGTAGTAATTGTTAGCAATGCTACCCATAAAAAACCCCATAATGGGACCAAGAACGCGAATGAAAAACATACCAGCTGCAACAAAAACCGAAAATATGCAAATTTCGTGAAAATATGCTCCAACCGTAAAAAAACGTGTAAGCAGGTTTTTAAGTTTTTGGTTATCACGTATTGAAAAAATAGTCAGTAACTTGAAGTGCTCATTGATAAGCAACATTTTATGCAAATTTGTATTCAAAGAAGAAAAACCAAAATAAAGAGGCAAATTTTGTCGCTTCACATTATCATCAA